AGAGAGAGAGAGAGAGAGAGAGAGAGAGAGAGAGAGAGAGAGAGAGAATGCACATAGGTGGCCAAGTCCACTAGAATCCCAGTTCCATGAGGGCAGATGCCACAGAGGGTCACCCATGTGTCCCCAGGGCTGGGACAGAGCCTAGCACAAAATGCATGCTTGAAAAACTTTCATGGATAAATTGTTGCAAGTCATTCAAGTCCCTCAGACCAGCTGCCTCAACTGCAAGCCAGGAGGACAGCAGCTCATGGGCTGCCATCAGGACTGACAGTGGCACTGAGGATGAGGACAGTGGCCCTGGTGTCTTAGCCTCCTCTCTCCCTCCCTCCCTCCGCCTTTTGATGACCACTCTGTGTTACCTGCACTAGAGGAAAGCGGAGGTGTCTCCTGTGCCCCCAGGTACAGGGCGGTTCCTCCGGGCCCTGCCCTGCCTCCACCCAGCAGCCTCTGGGGAACGTGGCTGCCCACTCCCAGCCCGGGGAACCTGGGCCAGGGGCTTCCCGATGCCCACAGCAGGTTTCCATTGCTCTTCCTGAACACTGAGCATGCCTGGCCACCTGCCCTTCCCTCATGTCCCAAGAAAGGTCCCCAAAACCAAAGCGAGAGTCACCCCATGAGAGAGATCCCAGAGGGACACAGAGGCGGTTAATTCCTGTTTTCAACCAGGATCCAAGGAAAGAGTGAGCAGCCCTGCCACACCGTGACCTGTGCAGATGGGAGGTGTCCCCAAGAGCTCACGTGCGAGGAGATGCAAGAAGGTTCAGAGGAGAGACGGCTGGCTTATGGGGCCTTGGCCCAGTCAGTGGGTCAGTCCTCTGATGGGGATTACTGAGTGGGAACTGCAGGCCGGTGGGATGTGGCTGGAGGAGGGGGCATTGGGGCACGGCTTTGGGGTACCTATTTGTACCTGGCGAGTGGAGTCCCTCTCTGCTTCTTGATCGTCACGTGAGCTGCTGCCCTCCACCACACTCTCCCACCATGATGTCCTGCCCACCTCCAGCCCAGGTGTCTATGGACGGCGACCTCTGAAACTGGGCCCCCAAACAACCTTTTCCTCCTCTAAAGTTGTCTTCGTCAGGTCTTTTAGTCACAGCAGTGAAAAGGCTGACGAACCCCATGGGCCACTCCCTCCGTCCTGCTGGGTGGAGGCTGAGGACAGGCAGGAGGACGAGTGTCCTGGTGGCCCAGCAGCTGCGGGAGGGTGCAACCCCGGCCTCACAGGCCGCAGCTACTCACCCCGTCCGTCTGTCTATGCTCACGCGGACTTGGAAGTCGAACAGCAAGTCAGGTGCACTATCAGCCTGCGCCAGGGGAGAGCTTCCTGGGGAGTTTCAGGCCACAGTGTCCCTCCAGTTCTACCACTGAAACTCCCTACTCTGTGCCAAGCACCAGAGTCACCTTCTGGAAACCCCCTCAAAGCCCACACAGGATGTGGTCCGAACCCCCAGAGGAGGAGCCGGACCTGGGGGTGGCACATCTGCTCCCAGTGGTGTGGTGGAGCCGAGGGCCACAGCCCATCCAAGTCTGTCCCCTAAAGCAACAGGGCTCAGTGCTGTGAGTGACCCCCACTGGCGCACGACAACACATAGAAAGCCACAGGGCACCTGAGCCTTGGAACTTCCAGGAGCATCAGGCCCAGCGCCCGCTGCTTCCTGCAGCTTCCTGCGGGGGGCGCCAGAGGACTGCCTGCCATCCACCCCTGGGCCAGGGAGGCTCCATGGTTCCTTTTGCCTCTCCAACTACCTACCTAACCTCCCCCCTCCCTCATTTAAACAGTGAGTGATAACCAAAAAGGGTTGGAGCTAATGCAGAAAAGTTGTCAGGCTGTAAAGGCCTGCAGCAGGTCCTAGCGCGGGGCCAGGCAGAGCGGGGATGTAAAGCCAGGAGCCGTGACCGGTCACTTCCCCGCCTGTACTGACCCTGTCACAGGAGGCGAGCAGCTGCTGGGTCCCACCCTCACTTCACAGGCCGCTGCGCAGGTACACTGATGGGCCCTGTCCTCACCACCTAGGGCCAGCCCAGGCCCAGAGGCCTGGCCCCCCTGGAGGCCTGTTTCTCAGAAGCAGGAACGGGACTCGGGCAGCAGAAGAAAGTAAACAAAGGACTTCAGTTACACCGTGTGGCCACCCGTAGGCACCTGTGACTCCTGCCACCCTGAATGATCATAGTGCACGATTTAAAAAGTAAGAAAAACTTTCAGAGTGTGGTACAGTTAGAAAGTAAACGCTTCAGTGAAAATGCTGGGTTTTTAAAACTTGAGCACATCCACTGAAGCCAATTCAACGGCCCCGCAGTCCCCCACTTGCTGCTGCGGCTCAAGCCTGAATGCCCTTCCCCTCTCCCCTCTGCAGCCGGCAGGAGGTTGCCCAGAGGAAGCAGGAGGCTGCGTGGGCCTCTCTCACCCATGTGCACATGCTCTTGCACACACCCCTGTGCTCACACAAGCATCTGAGTGTGGGCATGGGCACACACACACACACACACACACACACACAGTTACTTCCAATGGGGTGTCCCCTGCCTGGGTGGGAAGTCATGTAAACACAGCCCTGTCAGAGGCTCTGCTGGGATCTGCCAGGCCCAGCATGTCATGACCTAGGGTCACCTCTGGAAACTGGTCCGAGAGTCTCTACGGGTGCCCGACCAGGAGGACAGGTGGCTGCTTGTGCAGAGTTGGGGACAGACTTGGCTCACATTCAGCTCTGGAACTCGGCCAAATGCTCAGTGGCAAGCAGGGGCTTCACGCCGTCTGCTTTCCCACAGAACCACGGAATGGCCTTCTAGAATGATGGAAGGGCTGGGTGACACTCAGGGTTGTCAGGCAGGAATCCCCTGCCCGTGGAGAGGAGAGCCCTTTACATTCAGAGCTAAAAGACGCAGAGGTGGCCCTGGGACAGCAATTGGACCCGCTGGAGGGTTCAGTGAAAGGACCCAGCAGTGGACGTGGCTCTCCAGACGCTGGCGAGTGGCCAGGCCATCAGGTTTCCCATCTCTGCCCCTTCTCAGGCCCAGCCCCTCCTGAATGGCTGTGTTACCACAACCTGAGGTGCCACCTGAGGCAGAGCAGGGGGTGACAGCAAGCCCTGCCAACCTCAGTCTCAGGTCCCCAGGAGCACCGACCTTCCTCGCAGGCTCTCTGGCCTGGCACTGGGACGGTCACTTTCTGAGAGGCTCCTTTCTCTGGCTGGGCCTCAGTTTCCCCTGAAGCAGGAGGGAGCTGGTCTGGGCACTCTGCAAGGGCCCAAGCATCTAGCCTGTCCCCTCTGGTCCCCCTCGGAGCCTGACGCTCTCAGCTCCACTGGTGGGACTCAGAGCACTCAGGAAACTGACCGCTCCTTCATTGCTTTTCCTTCTTGGGAATAAGAAGGTGGCACAAGGCGCAGGGTCTTCTTCCACCCCGGAAAGAAGGCACAAACGACGCCTCCCTGCTCACACAACTAGACCACTGACCCTCCAGCCAGCCACAGAGAGCACACAGGACCCCCAAGGCCTCCACCCGATTGTCAACAGGAGGTGGCAATATTCCATGGGTGCATCTAGACAGGAACTTCCAACACGGGATGGAATCCCTCTTCCCGTCTCTGGAGGATTGGTGACAATCCCGTGTGCCCTGCATGCTACAGTGGAGAGTGTGTCTCCAGTCGTGGTTCCTGAGGTCCTCCCAGCCAGCCTGGGCAGAGGGCAGGGACAGGGGCAGTCTTGCTTTGCACATGGGGAAACAGAGGCTCAGGATCAGAAAGCAACATGCCCCCCAAACCCAGAAATTCCAATTCTGACTCCTGCTCCATGAACCTGGTAATCTGCCCTGTGCACATCTGTCCCAGGTAGGCTGTGGGAAGGGGCGTCAGAGGGCCAAGAGATGCCCTCACCACAAAACTTCCCAAGCCGTGTTTGCTAAGGCAAGGACCCCCTTTGACCTGGGAGCAGGGCAGTTCACTCTGTTGTCAGATAGTCTCCAACAACAAGACCACATTTCTCCACGGGAATACATGTCTGACTCCAGATTGTACTGTTTCTCAAGGATCAGGCTGGGTCACGTCACAGATCGGGAAGCCTCTGTTCCTGGCCAGGTGGGCCGGGGTCACTCTGGCTGCTCCCCTCACAAAAGCATAATCAAAGCCACCAAACCCCACCTGGGCCCGTCTGCGTGCAGTACCTGGGGTTCGCTCACAGGGTCCTCGCTCAGAAGGACCCCACGGTCACGTAGGAAGAAAGGCCTCTGGGGCCTCCTAGGGAATTTGCACTTAAAATTCAGACAGCCAGGGGCCTCCAAGCCGTCCCCACAGTGACCAAGGCTCAGCAAAGGGTGCATTCAGAAGCAAGGGGTGCTGGGCATGCAGGGCAGGGCCCACGAGCAGACTCCACCGTACCATGCTGCTTGTAGATAGGGGGTTTCCTATAGATGTTATCTTTTACGCCAGTGTCTGGGAGAGGAGACAAAAGGAGAGAACAGGAGGGTGAGCGGCCGTCGCCAGGGTGTCCGCCCACTGCTTTCTGTCCGCCACTCTCATCACCCCGCTTTAGAACTGCCAGCAGGTCCAGCAACCCACACCCCAAAACAAGCACCCCCACTGCGGATGCCACCCCAATCTGAGGGGACAGGGAAAGAGGTGGCTAGGAATGGGCAGCCAGCAACAGCCCAGGCCTGGTGCAGCTCAGAAAGACCCTTTTCTCCAGCTGTTCCCAGAAAGCTGCAGACGCCCGCCCGCCCCCCCCGCCCCGAGTCTGTGGCACTTGGGGAGAAGCTCACACGAAGAGCAGTTTGGGGATGTGCCAAGACCCTGGTGATTTTTAGGGAAGCTTGGAGTTTGGAGCTGGGACGAGGTGTGGCGGACCATGCGGCACCTGCCCTGGCCGCCAGGTGTGAGCGGATGTGCACATGGAGCCGGCTGCGAGCCGGGCCTACCTGGGACGTGGAAGTGGCGCGGGGCCTGCTGGTAGGTGGAAGAAGGAGGCCTGCTGTCCGAGAGCACCGAGAGGCTGGGGGTGCTGCGGCCACTTTCACTGCCTCCAGATGGGAGCACAGGGACAGCAGATGGGGACGGAAAAGCAGAGCATCTCAAGCAAAATGGCTAGTGCAGCAAGCCCCGTCTTCCCTGCAGCGGACACCCCACCCCCTCTGCCCAAAGGAGGACTGTGGTCCTGGGGACTTTCCAGACTAGGCCCAATGACTTGTTAATCCAACCTGCCTTGAACCCTGCTCGTGGTCCCTGGCAGAGGCACAGTGACCTGAGGGCTGAGAGCTTATTGGTGCATGGCAGATTCTGGGGTGCACATCCAGCTGCTCCGTGTACCCGGCAGCCTGCAAACTCACCAGCCCCAAGGCCTGCCTTCCTGATCATCCTGTACACACAGGGCTGCATCTCCAGGAGCCTACAAATCACTGCATGGATCAAACTAAGGCACTGGAATGAGCCTGGGAGTCCTCAAAGTCACTGAGTGCAATTTTGCAAGATACAGAAAAAGAGAAGACCAGAATCAATCAATTTCCATCTTCCTAAATACATATATATATATATATATATATTTTTTTTTTTTTCCAAACTAAGTGAAAAGCACCTTCTGAGCCTGCTCCGGTTCCTTACCTCATCTAGAATCAGAATTTCTGCCTTGGGAAGGAGGTTGGATTATCAAGTCACCAAGCAAGACAGCAGAGTTCCCTGGGAGAACACCCCATGCCCCAGAGCTGTGTAAGAAATGGGGTGACAGAGTGGGCAGGCACTGGACACTTGGCGAGGAGGACTGTGGCTCATAGCAAGACACCTCACTAACCTTGGGGACCCGCAGGACATTAGATAATAAGCTTGACAGGGGAAAGGGACAGTCTGGACTTGAGACCCTCTCCATTGTGTGCTGGTCCAAGTGACCCTGCAGTGAAACGGTACCCACAGAAGTGGGGCTAAGCCGGCCTGACTGGGGACCTGCCGGGGACTGTAGCAGGCTGGACAGATGCTGGCTCTGGAGGAGCTGGGCCTGGAAGCAGGCCGGGTGCAGCAGCGGGGCACGCAGGGGCAGAGGGCTCAGCTCGGGCTGACCCCCACCATGGCCCACACCAGGCTGAGGCCACAAAGGGGCAGGCAACTCCAATCTGGAGCACTTTGTCCCACCTGGGTGTGACGCTGACTTCACCTGCTGACACTGACGGGACTTCAGATGCCTGCTTTGCTGTAACTACCTCCCTTCCAACAGCACAGACCCCCTGGGCTTCCCCAAGTCTGCGGGCTCCGGCCACTCCAGGTGGCCGCAGGGCCTTTACACCATTGGGGTGGGACCTATGAGCAACAAGAGGAAACCCCGGACCTCTTCTCCCCACGGTGACTGACTAGAACCCCAAGGGCAGCCACCCAGGACAGAAGCACGGCCTTTAAAAAACGCATCCGTGCCAACTGCAGGGGGCTGGGACATTTGTGTCAGGCGCCATGGCTAGGCTGAGCCGGCCCTGGTCTAGAATGCTCCTTCTCCACCACTTAGGATCTAACATGTCACAGGCTCCCTGTCCCTCCCCAGGGCTCAGCCTATGATGCAGTGGCCCTGGAAACTGTACACCCGACAGGGGTGCCCGCGTGCCCGTGTGCCCGTGCACCTCAGGACAGATGTTCCCAGGTCCCCAAGACCACGGGGAAGCTGAGGCACAGCTGTGGTGGCCCTAGTGACCCACCGGGCCTGCTGCACACCCGCCCTCAGGGGCCTCTAGCACTGGTCACTGAATTCGTCCACCTAGGGTTGTGTCTGAGATGCCACCACCAAGTCCTCGCGCCTCCCCAGCCCTGGGCTCTGCACGGCTCCCCCTGGGGCACTTGCTGAGTGCAGCTCCAGCCTTCAGGAGGGTGGCCCAGGGCCATTTGACCCCAGGTGGCTTCCCCTCTCAAAATGCACCACTGCCATGGGCCCCGTGGTGCCACCAGGAGCGCTCTGCTGCGTCTCCCCTCAGCATGCCTGCCCCAGCCTGGGTCTAGCGTTCGCTCAGTGGCCAGCCCCTCCTTGAGCTTTACTGGTCAAGTGCCCAGGCAGGGGCTCAGGGCTGCTGCTGCAGGGGGTCATGTCCTGGGGGGCTTCTGTCCTGGGTGAGCCTATTCCTGGGTGGGCAGCCCCTGGCCGTGGGCCCCTTCCTCCTCTTCCAGTTTAAACCCATGCTTGATCTGAGGACAGTTTCAGGTAGTCACACCTCCCCAGGCACGGGCTCTGGCTGGCGCCCCCGACCTTGGCTCATGGCATCATCTAAATGCCACGCCGTGTGGATTTTGCCTGGTGTCCTCGCTCCGTCCCAGGAGGACACATTACATCAGCTGGCACGTCTCCCATGCGCCTCTGGCTGGGCCATCTCGCGGATTCCCTGCCGGTGATGACTGGTCCTGGGAAGCGCTGGCAGGCCTTTCCGGAAAGTTCCTCAGCTGGATCTTTTTGCTCCTTTCCCAGGACACACGGGGCTCATGTTGGAGAGGCAGACCCCGGGGGGTGGGGAGCTGCCCTTCCTCGGGCAACCAGGCAAATGTTGTCAACAGGGTCTCCTGCCCAGGCCACGGCCTGGCTGGCGGGCGCCACAAGGCTCCTCCACAGCAGAGCTGCTCTCTTTGTCCCCCTCCTAAACTGCCTCTCTGGAGAGAAGACCCAGGTGAAGGCCCTGGCCACATCGGGTGGAGAAGTGCCAGCTCCTGAGAGAGCCCCGCCCACGCTGCTCAGCACCCTCTGAACCGCGGATCTGTCTTCTCCCTGTTGATTTGTCCTCAGTCCTTTCTTGTCTCAATGGGGACTCGTGGACATTCACGGCATGTGGGGTTTGCAATGTGACAGCGTCATTCCGTTGCTCCAGCTGTGCCGACTTGGAGCTCTCTGGCCTGCTCTTGTCCAACTTTCTCAAGGTGGTACCAAAGCAAGTCCAGCTCATGGCCAAGTTCAAGTGCTGTCAGGACCATCCATGGCCAGGACAGGTGTGGACTTCACCGCAGCCCCTTCCACCTCAGTCACAGACCACCTCCCCCAGAGGGCCCCACTTCAGAGCAGAGGGAGGGGACAGTGGGCAAGGTGAAGAGCTACCTAGGGCAGTGTGAGTGGGGGGCAGCAGCCTTGGGCTGACTCCACATCCAAGCCGCCCCCTCCCTCCCTTCTCAGACCACATGGTTAGGAGAAGGCCCACAAGTCAGCAAGTGGCTGTCCCGACACTGGGCCTCGGCAGCATGGAGTCCCCCGGGCACCCACACCTATCCTGCTGCTTGCCTCTTAACAGGCAAAGAGGTCAAGTTTAAACCCACCCTACCCCAGGGACACGCCAGGGACTGAACTTCTCGCTTCAGTGCCCATGCTGCCCCCAGCTCCTCTGCTGAATGTGGGTCTCAGTGGGAGGGGGTCCCTGGGCACTGAGCCTCAGCCGGAAGGTGTGGCTGGGCTGCCCTGCACACAGGGCCCCTGCCAGCAGCTACCAGGCTGGGAAAGCACCAGCGAGCTGGGGTGGGGGTGCGCCTGCCTGGGAACCCTCCGCCCATGGTGTCGCCCAGCAGGAAAGCTCTGCTGAGCAGAGGCCAAGGTGCCCCAGGTGAGAACCTCACGGGCCCTCCTAGGGAAGGGCAGATGCCAGGCCTGTGTCCGAGTGAGAGGTGGGTAACTGAGTGCCCAGAGGCTGGGATATGCTGCAGCCCATGAGCTGGGAGAGGACAGGCTCCCTCTAGTGTGGCCTTGGAGTGGACCTGGGGTGGACATGACTTGTGAGTACGTGTTGGGTTGAAGCCTAAATTTGGGCTCTGCTTTGGGATCTCGAACCAGGAAGTCCCCTGAGCCTTGGCCTCCTCCAGAGCAGGTTCTGCAAAGACCTGGGGCCCCCAAGGTCACAGATGGCCATGGAGTCAGGCACAGGGTGAAGCTGCGGGCATCGGGCTCCCTGCATCTGACAGCAGAGAGGCGGGCAGGCGCTTCCTCTGGTTTCTGAGCAAAGGGTGTGGTAGCTAAAGTGACCAGGAAGCCACAGGGCGGAGTCTGCATTCCAGTAGCAAAGTGCCACTCAGAGCACCCCCTAGGGTTGGAGCCTACGAGCACCCAGGCTCTGAACCACGTTTCAGTGGGCAGGTGGGTGGGGCCTGAACCCAGTCTCTTCTTTGCGGGGGTGGGATGGGGGTAGGGGCTGGCTGCCTTCCACCCTGCCTCCTTCCCTCGCCCCCTCCCCTGGGCTGCAAATGGGGTGCTGCCCGCTGGCTGGACTGGAGCAGGAGCACTGCAGCCCGAAGGCCTGCCCTGACTGGGGTCCCCTCCCCGTCTTTCCTCTTCACAGAGTGGTAGGAGTCCAGGGTGGAGACACAGATGTGGGTGGAGGAGGCTCACCAGGGTTAGCTCTGGCTCTAGGCCCTCCAGGGAGCTGCTTATGGTGGCTGCCTGGGGGTCAGGGGAGAATGGCAGGGACAGTGAATGTCCACTGCCTGCCCTTGCTCTGGTACACCCTGCCAGGGACCTCACAGGTACATGGCCCTACCCACAGCGAGGCCCTGGCAGATGCGAGGACAGCTCAAGATCCAGGGCCTTGTGGTGCGTGAGAGGTACGAGAAGCGGCCTGGAGACGGGCCGTGAGCCCCGGCGGCTCAGCTCCCTCGGACAGCGGACAGTGAGCACACATGCGGCAAGGCCTCTGGGGCTGGCCCCTGCTGCGGAGCCTGCTTTGGGCTTTGAGTCTCCTCCTAGCTGTCAATACTGCCCAGGAGCTGCAGGGGTGGGCCACCAGGGGTGAGGGAGGTGTGACGACCAGGCTCCTCTCCTGGACCAGCTGGTGAACCCTGGGATGAAACACGGGAGGGCCACAGCCCAGCCCCTGACTATCACAGGATCCAGCTGCCTCTGGAGGAGTCCCCCAGAGATGTCCAACTCCACAGCTGTGAGGGATAGTGCTCTTGGTGTGTCATTCGGGGAACCAGCCAGGTCTCTATCGTGGGTCCTCCACTGGCCCGAGTGTCTTTCCGTGGCGTCTATCAGCTGGCTCTGTAACAGGACACCACAGGCTGGGCCTGCGACGGCAGATGCACATTTTCTCGAGGTTGCAGAGGCTGGAGGTCACAGTGCAGGTGGGCAGGGTGTGTCCTCTGAGGCCCTCTTCCTGGCTTGTCCATGGCTGCATCTGGCTCATGTGGCTCACGGGGCCCCCTCTGAATGTGCAGAGACAAGTGCAGGGCCATGTCCTCTCCTTACAGGGCCACCAGCCTGGTGGATCAGCACCCCTCCTGGGGACCTCATCTAACTGACCTGATGCACCTCATCAAAAGCCCTCTCTCCAGTCACATGGGGGGTGTTAGGACTTTAACATGTGAATTTGGGGGACACAGTTAAGTCCTCAGCGTAGAGGCGAGCAGGAGGTTGGCCATGTCTGTTTTTTTGTGTGTGTGTGCTCATGTCCCTGCAGGGACATGGGGTGTGTGGGTCTGCACCCTGGGAAGAGCCAGGGTTGGGGCTGCGTGATGCACCTCCTGGCTGGGAGGCCAAGGCCACCCTGCTCTACAGCTGAGCTTCTGCTCCTAAACCAACACTAGCGAACCCGGGCCCGTGGGCTACTGTGGGAGGTGAGAGGATCTGACCTAAGCACAGAGTGGCCCCGGCCCTCCACCTGTGCCTTCGCCTCACCAGCTACCAGCCTTTCCCTGCCAGGAACACGTGCA